TATTTCTCTGACCAGTGTCTCCCTACGCATTTCAGATATATTGACCTCTTTTAGCCGCTCTGTTATTCTTTTCCGTCGCCTGTAAAGGGAGCGCCTGTCTCTTTCTATTTTACATCTACTCCTCCTTTTTCTTAGAGGAATAAGCCTTGTGCATACATCGAGTGCCACCGAGTTAATCTGTTCTAGGCATAAGTTGGGGTCTGTGTTGCTTAGTATATCTTCCCAGCTTATATCGGTTAGGACTTGGTTTACTTGGTCCCACTTTATGTTTTTGTTATTGAAGTTGAATTTGGTGAATGCTCCCTCGTGACTAATCTCATTTTGTCGGTCTGGGGCTCCGCGCATACATGTCTGAACCTCAATTATGTTGTGATCTGAGTATATTGTTTTTGATATGGTGACATTTCTTATCAGATCATCATTGTTTGTGAAGATGAGGTCTAGTGTATTCTCCAGTCTAGTAGGTTCTATTATTTGCTGGTTTAAATTTAATTTTGTGCAGAGATTTAAAAGCTCGCGTGAGTGTGAGTTTTCATCAGAGCTGCCTCCTGGTGTTATTACTGCAACAATATTATTTGCTATATTCCTCCATTTTAGGTGCCTTAAGTTGAAATCCCCCAGGAGCAAGATGTTGGGTGCAGGAGCTGGAAGATTTTCCAGACAGTGCTCAATTTTTAACAGCTGTTCCTGGAATTGCTGGGATGTTGCATCCGGAGGCTTGTAGACTACCACAATGACTAGGTTTTGGTTCTCGACCTTTACTGCTAAAACTTCCACTACATCATTTGAGACATTTAGCAGTTCTGTGCAAACAAGTGACTCTGCAATGTACAGGCCAACCCCCCCCCCCCTTTTGCCTGTTCACTCTGTCACATCTGTATAGGTTTTAACCTGGGATCCATATTTCGTTGTCCAAGTGATCCTTTATGTGGGTCTCAGTGAAAGCCGCGAACATTGCCTTTGCCTCTGCAAGCAGTCCACGGATGAAAGGTATTTTGTTGTTTGTTGCTGGCTTTAGACCCTGTATATTTGCAAAGAAGAATGTTATCGGACTGGTGGTATTGTTGGTACTGGGGGGGGGGGATTTTTTTCCGGCATTAGTATCTGTATCTGTTGGTTTGGAGTGGAGGCCATCGACTGTGGTTCCACTCCAGGAATGACTGGATTTGGTGTACGATTTCTGCCATTTCCTGCCAGTTTTTTTTCCTTCCTGGCACTAAAAACCTCTCCCTCTTGAGTGGCTGTGGCTACCCAGGTTTTCCCATGACCTAGATGTTTTGTATCTTTTTGTCCCCTTTAGATGGTATGCCTGGCAATTTAAGTTATAGCACAGTCTTTCCTGTACTGAAGAGGTACACAGATCAGGGTGAAAAAGCTTACAGGAAGGGAGTTTGCATTTTCCTGTTGTCATATGGGCATGGCATTTTCTAGGGTGGTCATAGTTGCACGTCCCATCTGTTTTTCCAGATTTCCATGCCAGCAGATACCGAGTGCATAGTATGTGCACAGGCTTGGTTTCCGTTTGCCTTGGGTTTATGTGACTGTATTCCCTGTTGGTGCATGTTTCCCTGTCTTACTTCTATCCTCCCTAGCACCAACAATGGAGCTCCCACCAGTTGTTTTTGGTAATATATCCTCACTATTGCTAGTGGAGTCCTCTTGTTTGCTATTTCCTGCGGTATTTCTAGTTTGCAATATTGGTTTTATCTTATCTTTGACTACACTTGTTTCCCTACTATGGCTCCTGTCCCCCATGAGGTCATTTATATGTATTCCTTCCTGCGTATAATTCCCGACTACCTGGACAAAATCTCCAGCTTCACCATTACTGTCTCCCAGGACAGCATCTCCAGCTTCACCATTACTGTCTCCCAGGACAGCATCTCCAGCTTCACCATTACTGACTCCCAGGACAGCACTATCAGCCCCACATTTACTGACTACCAGGACATCATCTCCAGCCTTACAGTTTCTGACTACATGGCCAGTATCAAGGGCAGTACCATTCAGCCCAGACTTTTTATGTTCCCATCTGTTGTAGAAAGCTTCCAGGTTTTCTATGAAAGCAGCTTTGATGTTGACCTCTTTTAATATCCTTGTGATTTTAGTCCACAGATTTATCTCATTTGGGCATACCCAAAAACACTTCCCTGTTTTAATACTGCTTGTAGCTAGTTCTTGGATATCTGCACAAGGGGCGTGACACCAATTTCCACAAAAATGACAATTTATGCATGTGGAAGCCCGTTTGTTTGACTGACCACAGACTACACACAGCTTCATAATGATTTGAATGGTTGATTTACTGCAATTCTACTAGCAACCTCTTGAATATTCTATTAATAACCTCCTTAAATGAAGCTCTAGCTATTTGTATTTCTGTTTCTAACTGTTTTTGTATATTGGACAGCTTACCGTGCACGTTCCTGATATATATTTAATGTTTGTGTTTATAAGGGCGCCTACAAAGATAATTATTATTTATCAATGTTACATAGACAAGTAGGAATTTGGGACACCTAGGTCGCAAAAAATGTCCCCCTTCGATACCTACCACTGTCATAACCACAAGTTGCTCTGGACCTATTAATTAAATGAAATATACATACACCAGGAATACTGGCAAATATATAAATTTGTGGACTGTATATTAAAAATAATAAATGGTTATATATATACACAATTACATAACAGAAGGAAAATATATCTTAATATCACTCACCAATTTGACTGGATATTAAGTTGTATCATACTCAGAAAAACCTCACTAACTAAATTTATGAAAACACTGGCCAGAATTATACACAAATCTATAGAGCTTATCTGAGGTTCCTGGAGCTGTCTTGTCCAGTCGTCTGATATCTCAAGTTATGCAGGAATGCATGTCCAACAATTTCGCCTCCTATTTGAGAGGTGTCAGCCCAATTTTAACCTCCAGAGCACGAAAATTCCTTCCCATTACACTAACGTTGTATCCAATTCAAAACCAAGATGGCGAGTCTGCCCAGACGCAGGCTTTCCGTTTTCTATGACAAATATTATTAAATACAGTATAGGCCATCTATTTACCTATAAATTACCGTATTTCCGGAAAATATGTACAGTATTTTCCACATGTTCCAAGTAGATAGAAATATCGGTAAGGGAGGTGGGGTGGCACTGTATGTCCGAGATCACTTGAACTGTTGCATAAAAATGGGTATTAAGTCTGAGGTAACACATACAGAGTCTGTCTGGATAGAATTTTCAGAGGGGCATAAAAAATTGATTCTAGGAGTGATATACCGTCCCCCAAACTTAGATAGGGACCAAGGGAAATTACTGTGGGAGGAAATTGTTAAGGCCACAAGGCACGATAATGTAGTAATTCTAGGGGATTTTAACTTTAGTCACATTGATTGGAATTTCTTGACTGGGGTTTAGAATCAAATGACTTCTTAGAAGTAGTTTCAGGAATGTTTTTTGAAGCAGCTTGTGACAGAACCTACAAGGGGAAATAACCTACTTGATTTGGTTCTGGCGAACAAGGAAACCCTTGTTAATAATTTAGAAATTAATGAGGAACTTGGCACAAGCGATCACAAATCAATTACCTTTAGCATAGAATGGAAGTATGATAGTAGGGACAACTCAGTAACAGTTCCAGATTTTCGCTTAGCAGATTACGATGGGCTTAGAGAACACTTATCATCTGTTGACTGGGGTAACGAAGAGAGCTATCAATATGACAGTTTTCTGAGCACTAGACATGCTGCTCAAAGAACGTTTATCCCGTATAAAGAAATTAGATCAAATAGAAATGACCCAAAATGGATGAATAATAGGCTGAAATATCTACTAGGGTATAAGAAAGGAATTTATAGGCGTATCAAAAGAGGTGAGGGTCATCTTATGAATCAGTATATCGACATTAAGAGGGACATTAAAAAGGGGATAAGAAAACCTAAAAGGGTCTATGAAATTAAAGTTGCTAGGGATTCTAAAACTAACCCAAAAAGTTTTTTCCAGGTCTATAGAACAAAAGTTAGAGATAAGATAGGTCCCCTCAAAAATAACTATGGGCATCTTACTGACAAAGAGAATGAAATGTGCTCGATTTTAAATAATTATTTTCTGATGCGCCTACAAATTCCCCTTTTCTCCCTTGTGGTATTGAAGTTAAGTTCTGTGAAAATCAAGTAACACATTTTTCATTAAATTTCTCCCTGGTTTCGCGGGACAAATATAAAATAAAAAAAATATCTTGATGGTTTTGTTTTAATTTTTGCTTTGAGGATTTTTGTAAGATAAGAGATAAGATAAGATTTCGTTCGGATTTTTTAACCCCGGAGGGTTAGCCACCCAGGATAACCCAAGAAAATCAGTGCGTCATCGAGGACTAACTTATTTCCATTGGGGTCCTTAATCTTGTCCCCCAGGATGCGACCCACACCAGTCGACTAACACCCAGGTACCTATTTGCTGCTAGGTGAACAGGACAACAGGTGTAAGGAAACGTGTCGAAATGTTTCCACCCGCCGGGAATCGAACCCGAGCCCTCCGTGTGTGAGGCGGGAGCTTTAGCCACCAGGCCACCGGGCCACACACCGTTGGTCATTGAGCCAAATAGGGTACTTGCTTATGTCTACTGGGGTTAGTAAGTTTATTTAGATACAGGTACACATAAATACAATAACACAAATTATCATGCATAGTAACGTGTGTAAATTACCTAGGATAAGCCAAGAAAGTCACTCAAAGTGACTTATTTCCATTGGGGTTGTATTGGACTGAAGAAGCATCTGGCTGGCGAAACGTCTCCTCACTCAATAAAGATTCCCAAAAATGTTGCTCAAGTGTCTCATTCTTCAATATGACGGGTTTCTAAACTATCTACATCACTGAGAAGGTAAGGCTGGGTACAGCATGAGCCGTATTTTAAGATCCCAAGAAGATGCAGTGTCTGACACTACACCATGAGCCGTCTGAGCCCTAAACAATTCTAACAACAACAACAACAACAACCACTGACTGGTTGTACTCAGCGTCACCCTTGCTAGTATTACAAACTTGAATTACTACTACCATCTCTCTCTCTCTCTCTCTCTATATATATATATATATATATATATATATATGAGGGTAGAACTGAGCCCAGGAGCTGAAGTTCAGCCACGGTGAGTCAGAGACTAGAGGGCCTGAAGGAGCTTTCACAAGCAAGACAGAACAAAGGAAGTCAACAGGAGCACGGGTTTCCCACAGTAGCAGCAGCCACACAAGATAATACAAGAAGCAACGGGATACTCGCTACATTTAAGGTAGATCTTTGTTACTGATTGAAAAGTGTTGCGTGTTAACGGCCAGCTTCATATGGCCCAGTAGATCTACATTATTATTAAAATTAAAGAAAGCGCTACAGCGTGTAGATCTATGGTAGGTGTGAATAATGGTATGGTGATACCGACAACATGTGTAGAAAAATGCTTATGTACAGTTCAGGGCATTATATTAGAGGAAACTTTACCTTTAATAAATATCCTGAACTACACATAAGTGTCTTTTTCATGCAGTAGGTATGTCAGTAAGTCTATTTTATTTTGACATGATGCATGTTTATACAAAGGAATAAAATAATTGGGTGCACATTCTAAAAGCCCCTTTATATGCAGAGCATTTCAGGCAAACTTAAAATTATCTTGATATTAATAAGGCAATAACAGGTACATATGGTCATTAGATGAATTACAGTAAATACAAAAGAACTGAGTATTCTATTAGGTCATGCTATATGTCTTTAATAAATCTTGTAGAGATGTACAATAAAGTTAATAATAAAAATTGTACGTATTCTCTACAAGACTTATTAAAGCCATATAGCATGACCGAATAGAATACTCAATTCTCTTATATTCATTGTAACTCTTATAATGATCATATGTGCTGTTATTGCTTTATTAATCTTAAGTTTAAGTTTGCCCAAAATGCTCTGCATATAAAGGGGCTTTTAGCATGTACACCCAATTATTATATTCCTTTGTATAAACATGTATTATATCAAAATAAAATATTATTATTATTATTATTATTATTATTATTATTATTATTATTATAGGTAAAATTTTACACAATCGTCTTACATAGTAACATGTGTAAATTACCCAGTATAATGTATAAAAAAAGGTCAGATAAAATGGCTAATTTCCATCGAGGTCCTCATAATATTTTAAGCAGTCTATTAGATACAGTGAAAATCAGTCACGACTCACAAAATCATGATGACACAATTGCAAACAAATCATGGAATAGGTGGGGTTTGAACCTATGGGAAGTGAGTCCTAAAACTCACAGGTGAGTGTGTTAACTACTAATAAGTAAAATTAAAATAAATGAAGTGGTACACGTGGCATTGTGGGTCTATATCTTATTATGCTGGGGCACCTGGCTGTTGGTCATATATATCCTAAGTCTTGTAAAAAATATATACTGTACTTTTTTATTAAATCTAAAAAATTGCTTTACTATTTTAATTTGACCAGTATGATTATTAGTATTAAATAATTATTGTTATTATTAATAAATAATAATAACTATTTTAACCTAACCAACTTTTCTTTCATTCATGACATTACATTAGCAAACACAGTGCCATATATTGAGCTATGTACATTGAAATGTTTAAATTCATGAAATAAGTACTGCATCCAGCTTTAATTGCAGTACATTTTATGCCATTAAATCCGAGAATTATTGATATACTTTGTTATCATGTTAAATGCTTTAATATTGTCTATTATTATATTGAATGTACTGCACCACTAAATCTCTCCCCTTACTTTTATATTATATTTTTTATTGTTTTTCACTTGTATACTGTTGTGGAAATTTGTCTGGACTGCCTCCTTGTAAGCTGCTTCCCTGGCGAGTACTGTTGACACAGACACTCTGAGACTAATCCTCTCAGAGCTCAAAAGTGGCTTGTAGGACACATTTCCATTTACAGTGGACCCCCGCCTTACGAACGCATTGCGTTACGTTAAATCCACCATACGAAGCATTTGAACACAAAAATTTTGCCTCGCCTCATGATAAAAAAACTCGCCTTACATGATTCATCTCCCACGTGTGGCCTCAGCACCAGTGTTTACAAGCCAGCCAATGCGGTCGCATCTACGCATACATTCGGTACATTTCACATTATCCCAGTGTTTTTAGTGCTTCTAACTGCAAAATAAGTCACCATGGACCCCAAGAAAGCTTCTAGTGCCATCCCTGTGGTAAAAAGGGCGAGAATTAGTAAGGAATTGAAAAAAGAGATTAAGGAAATGTGTGCAAAGTGCGTTGAACTGCAAACCTTTACGGATGAAAATCACCCTGACACAGCTACTGCAAGCCGTGTTGGCAACCTGTACAAAGACAATGTTATGGCCCATTTTAGGAAAGTCTTAGAGGAATGGGAGGTACAGAGCTCTATGGGCAGATTTGCTGTGCGACAGAGGTCCAGTGACTCAAGCTGGTCCTAGTGGCATTAAAAGAAGAAGGGAAGTAACCCTGGAAAAGGACTTGCTACCTCAAGTCCTAATGGAAGGGGATTCCCCTTCTAAACAATAACTTCCACACTCTCCCCTCCTCCCATCCCATCAATCATCACCAGATCTTCAATAAAGATAAGTGTCATGTATTCTATTCTTAGTAGAGTAGTAATTGTGCATGTCTTCTTCAGTTTGTGTGTATTAAAATTAATATTTTATGTGGTAAAAAAAATAATTTCATACTTTGAGGTGTCAGGAACGGATTAATTTGATTTCCATTATTTCTTATGGGGAAAATTAATTCGGCTAATGATAATTTCGGCTTACAATGAGCTCTCAGGAACGGATTAATATCGTAAGGCGGGGGTCCACTGTAACTGAACTTGCAAGAAAATTTCCCCTCTGCATGCACGACCAAAAGGGTTAACTTACTTGGTGGAGAAGACTATGTCACCTAGTCTTCCAACCTCCCTAAGCCTTAATCCCTCTGGACTCTCCCCTTCAAGTCACCACATGCAGTCAAGGACTTAATCTCTGCAAATATTCAGTTGGTATTAGTGACCTGCATGCACCTGAGAAATTCCTGATTCCAAGAGGGTGTGTATCCCCTAGTAAAACTGTGCAGTAAGAGACACTAGCTTATTGACTTGTACTTAGAGGGGATGCCGGTACATACTGGTCTACTGGCGTCTGACTGTACAAAGACCCACAGTTCAACTCACTCACACTTACCCCCAGAAACTGGCCAGAACTGAGAGAAAGCAAGATCTTGTCTTACTGTAATGGGGCTGAACGGAGGAGGGCATCCATAGTACTTCGGGGTACCTCCACCAAGTTTCCCCAAGTCTAGTACTGTATGTATATGTAGACATGTGGGAGCGCCGCACTGCTGTTCACAGCGCTTGTTATTCCAATGGTGTTTGATCTTAGAAGAGAGAGCTCGCATCTCAAAGACCCACGCTTCCATGTTCAAACCTGGGGCTGCCAGTTCTCCCTAGCTAATATAACCAAGTGTTTACCTACATTAAAGGCCTAACCCTACCTATGTTAATATCTAAGGTTACCTCATCACTTCTAATATTAGTTACCAATTGTATAAACCTACCTAGACCTCCCTTGAAAGGTAGATAGAGCTATCAGTTCATCAATCTCGTTACCTTCTTCAACCAGTGTGTTTGTGTGTGTGTGGATGTCAAGGGCTCCTGTGAAACTTTGGACCAAATAAGTTTCCACAACTGTGTATATAGATAGTAAGCTTCTGTTTTGTAATACAGTACTGTACTACTATTGCTCATCCCATGTCAAAATAATATATTTTAATTAATGTTTCTTAACCTTTTCATTGTCCAGACCTCTGAAATTAAAAGTGCTCACAAAAAACCCATGAAACCATAGAGAATATTTTTGTGAAGGTAATGACACAAAAAGTAATAATTTTGATGGAAAACTTACCTAATTACGCTGGTGCAAAGTTGTGCATTGGTAATTGTACCAACTTTGTATCTTATATTAAGTTAATTCAGTTGCTCAATTTGACCCATTTTTTTAGCTATTTCACTAGTATGCATTCCATTCCATCAGTTGAGTCGAAGAAACTGCCCATTCATGTATCAGAACTACCATATAAAGTGCACAGAATTTGGTAATATGATCAATTTTATGCAAAATTAAAAACTTTTAATTTAAAAACAGAGTCCAGAATAAACACTGTAGACATTCCAGGCACTAAAACAATTCCTCTTTGCAATAATTACGTCCCCAATCCTCTCCTGTATTACACTTTCCTCCTATTTTGAACCCCCTCAAGGAAGGTTCCTTGATGCTGGTGAGGGGCTCTTGATCAAGGGAATTGGATCTGTGCTCCAGGTCCCTGAATTAAGCCTGAATACCTTCCACATCCCCCCTTCCCCACAGGTGCTGTATAACCTATGGGTTTAGCATTTCTCCTTTGATTATAATAATAATAATAAATAATAATAATAATAATAATTAATCCTATTTTGAAACATCACAAAAAATTTAAGATTTGCCCTGTTTCTCAGGAATGATTTGTCATGATTTAAGGCATCCCAATAATTGAATCAGACTAGTAAAAACCCATAAAACAGACTGGGGGATGCAGGGAGGCCTTCCTTGCTCTCAGGAATAACAGCAAATATTTAATATTTCTATTGCTTTAAGGCCAATTTCAAGCTACTTTCAGTCCTGGAACCAACTAAAATCATCTCTATTCAGTAAAATGTCTTCTGAATTTCTAAACACTGAGATATAAATCAGAATGAGAAAATTTCTCTCTAAGTGTATGAAATGGTAGTGCTTTACTGTATTGTAAAGTCATTTTGAAATTTGTTAACATTGTATATCTTACTACTGTACTATATTGCTTTTAAGATTTTATGTCAGAATCTGTATTCTGCTTGTGTGTACATTACTCACCGAGTTTTGTTTACAAGCAAGTTATAGTTCCTTGATACTCAATGCCCCCTTTCCTCTTAATCGTTGTCTGCATTATAACAGCTAAATGCCACTAGTGTTTCATATCGAAATTTTTTCATCATAGATCAAGTATGGAGAATGTCACTCGGCAAAATGGTGGAGAGGTAGTGGTAACAGATCCACTTTCAAATGATCATCAACGAGGAAAAAATGGACAGAATGGCAGCCCAGATGCAGCAGTGGGTGCTAATGGAGATTTGACAGATGCTGGAAAACAAGGAATCACGTAAGATGTCATTTTAAGTAAAACCTAAATTTTAAATTTAATGAGTATCAGTGAATGATTAACTGCCTTTTCACTTTAATATTAGATATGTACCTGGCTGATAGTTCGTAAAGCAAATTTACATCAAGCAAACCTGTGAAAACAGGTAAAACGTGGGATTCATTCTGAGACTGCAAGTTACACATTTCTTGGTTAATGTTTACAAAAAAAAAAAAATGAGCTTGCCACACTTGCACCAAATATTAATATACAAAAAAAAAAGATGAATTTGTACAAAAAAAAGTGAAAGAAAATAGTCAATCTAAAATTTAGCCATAATCGTAAGAGACTACTGGTAAAAATGGGGTTGCTGCATTAAGGAAAATTTGCTTCAAGCAAAACTGTGTACGCATGTAAATATGTATGTACATCCATATATATTTAAATACAACTTATACACAGGTATTTATAAGTTTAATCTTTATTCCTCAGAGATGTTAATGTATCAAGGTTAGCAAGAATGCCAGTGGAAGTTGAAGCCATACGATACAGTGGAAATCACAGTCACCGTGGTCATTGTATAATTTTTAATCATCGGGTTTTTGATCGTAATACTGGTCTTGGGGTAAGCATTTAATAATAATGAATTGTTTTGTGAGAACTTGTTCTATTGAATGTTTGAAAATATATCTATTTTTCTTATCTTCCTTCAGCCATGTGTATATAATGGCACGTAATGCAGAGCACCTCTTAATACAGTGTATATTGATTTATAATAGATTATTAATGTTTTTCTTTTAACTTTTACGTATCTTATATTGACATAATTATACTGATGTAAAAACATAAATTACAGTGATACCTCTCATATCCAATGTATATGGGCTGAGACCGGTTCGGAAACCCGGAGTTTTTGGATACATGAAGGGGAAAAATGCACATCTATACCATCATATCGCCATCCATACCGTGTCATATTGCCATTGGCGACGGCTTTGTAAGTTTAAAAAACGAGTCCAACGTAATCTGGCGGTGGGACCAGACACTCTGGGCTCAAATAACAACCCCCCGGATTTCACGGACCACAGGACCATAACTTTTCAAATGGGCTGTGGACAGTGGATGCTCCAAATACTTCAAAAGTGTTTCAGCACTTGCCCTTGCTGCCGGAGTTTTTGGTCTTGGAGGCATTGGGTTGTCGTTGTCGTCACTTTTGAAATGTTCCGGGTGCAACACTGATTCTGCAATCTCTGCATCCATCAGAGATTGGACACCAGGGTCATCTTCATCACACACTAGCCAGTCCTGCACATTGGCACCATGAACCATCATACCACTACCACATTACTGTAGGTACCACTTCATCACGCACTGATCGAGTTCCAAGCTCTGTGGCTTTGCCATCACTTTTCTTTCAGCACCTTTTAGCCACTTGGAGCCACGCTCCTAGTGGCCAACCAGTACACTAAAGTGTGTGCCAAGTTTGATTCAGCCTTCTGCCATATCCGAATTGCTGTTCGGATGTTTCGGTAATAAATTTAGAATTTTGCCCTTTTCCAGGGCCTGTTCAGAAATTGGCGAGGTTCAAATAATGGCAGGCCGGATATGCAAGGTATCACTGTACTTAAAATCTTTCTAATCCTTGCAGTACAATACTGTGCACAGTGCAGAGTACAGTTCTGTACTGTACTTTCACTTAACTTCTACAATGAATACTGCACTCTGCTGTATTATTATATGTCTTGTTAGAACAATATTGATTTGTCTGATTAAAACAATATTGACATTCTCCATGGGGCAGAGGAAAATAATTCTTTCTTCGTAAGCCATGTGTGTCGTAAGAGGCAACTAAAATGCCAGGAGCAAGGGGCTAGTAACCTTTTCTCCTGTATATATTACTAAATTTAAAAAGAGAAACTTATTTTTTTCTTTTTAGGTCACCCTTCCTTGGTAGGATATGGCTGATTCGTTTAAAAAAAAAATATTGACATTATGCTCCACGCATCATTTAACATGTTAGATGAAAAAAAAAATTAAGATTCCAGGTGAATCTATAAACTGTATGTTTAGATTTGTTCTGACAATAGCTATTGTATAATATACATATTGCATGTTGAAATATGCTGCACAAAAGATGATGAAATCTAGAGTGAAAGCATTCATTTTTAGACTTGTTAAATCAATAAAGCACAAATACTCCATTCAGAAGGGAACATTGAGGCAGTGTGTTTTTGGTAATGAAGGTGTGAACAGAGGATCATGAAACAAGTAAAAGACAGATATAAAGCTATAGACTGGAAACAGTTTGAGGAAACAAAAGATGATGAGGAAAATAAACAGAAGCGCAGACATTGCAGTGAAAAATCATAAATTTAAAGTCTTGGAGTGCAACTTGAACAAATTTAGTGAATTTGGTAAAAAAAAAAATGGACAATCAATGCCTTGAGGAGGGTGCAAATGATATAATAAGTACAGTATACCCAGTGAAACCAGTGTGTCAGGGACCTCTCAAAGCCCACCCTCACCACCGTTCAAGTTTAAGAGAAGTGCAAATTCATTATTTAATTGCTCTGCTAAATCCATTGCCTTATGCCCTATAGTACAGAAAATAGAGAGATTTCTGCACAAAACTACTCAATAAAAAAATTATTAGACCTGCAGTTTGCCAGAGTATTTTATACCTGTAACATCCCTACCATTGATCTGCATTCCATTAATGATTTGCTCATGTTTTAATTATGCTGCACAGTATTAATGTATATAGTACCAGTAACAAAACAGTGCTTTCTTGAAAATAGTGTTTTTGACCAACCCATAAAAAGCATCAATAAAAGATTGAGAGGTAAATTACCATAACTCTTTGTATTAAAACCACAATAAATAATAGCATTTGAGTTAAGTTGTCAGGTTAGACCCAGGGTTTTTTAAACAAAAACCCTGCTCAGGCAGGTAAATGGGTAGCTGCCCAGGGAGCTACCCATGACAACTCTAACAAATGGACCTGAGTAAGAGTAATACTTGTGAAATGTTCGATCAGTTTGTAAAGGTATATGAGGATCAAGGGAAAATTTTGAGAAGTTGAGTGTAAACGACAGAATAAAGTCAAATATTTCATGTGAAAGGCAGAGAAAAGTGAGATTTGCTATTCAGGAAGAACTGGAAAATAAGCAGGTGGGATTAAGACTAAAACATGGAATGAAATCAGGTATGAATAAAGTTTCTGGACTATAGTATACTTGGTAAGTTTATTTATTGTATGTAGAAGAAAGTGTGAACAGAATAAGTTTTTTGAATATACTAGTTAAAATGTATGGCTATAACAATGCTTTTTTATTTTTGGGGATTTTATTAGACCTCTTAATGAATATTTTTTCATAAGCTATTTCTTTATCATATGCAATGAATTTTAGTATGTATGTTAAAATTTGTATGTGTGGTGGGTTCTCTGTTATAATATAAAGTACATACTTTATCTGTATCTTTAGGAGCGTAATGGCACTGACCGCGACCGTGATCAGGTACAGCAGCTATTTGAGCAGTTGGGTTTTCAAGTGAAGGTGTGTAACAACTATACTGTAGCCAGTATCAAAGCAGAAATCCAGGACTGTAAGTATCTTTCCATATACAACAATTATTACAGTTTTACTCATAAGCTGATTCTTAGCATATAAGATGACTGATTAATGTCAATAGAATTGTTGCATAGAAGTATAGTATTACTTAGAGAAACAGGCACCTTATATTGATGGGAAACAGCTCATGTAGTAAAAAAAATTATCACATATTCATACTGTAGTTATAAAAACTACTCAAAAATATGTTTCCCAAATTAACAAATTATTATTTCTTTTTGACACTGTCTCCCACCATTACTGTCTTGCCAGAAGTGCACTGACATTACAGCTCAGATGTATCTCCAAACTGCAATATGCCTCCTTCAAAGTGCAGGCACTGTACTTCCCACCTCCAGAACTCAAGTCTGGCTAACCAGTTGCCCTGAATCACAAATGTTATTTTACTGATACTCCAGCAGCTCATCAAGTCATAAAAACCACTTGCCCCCACTCAGTCATATATAACACACTCACACATGCCTGTTGTATGTCCAAGCCCCTCACATGCAAAACCTTCTAGTTCCTAGGACAACACCTAACTCTCCTTCCCTCCACTATAGATTTATACACTCCAAGTCATCCTGTTTTGTTCCACTATCTCTAAATGTCCAGACCACCTCAGTAACCCTTCCTCGGCCCTCTGAATAATACTTTTAGTAACCCCACATCTTCTGATTTCCAATTTACATATTCTCTGCATAATGTTCATACCACATAGTATAGTAAATCAGTATTTACTGTACTAAAAAATTCTTTTATTTATATTGTATCACATTTTTCAAATTAAAAAAAAAATTCTTTTTGAGAATACAGTGGACTCCCGCTTAACGATCACCTCCCAATGCGGCCAATTATGTAAGTGTATTTATGTAAGTGAGTTTGTACGTGTATGTTTGGGGGTCTGAAATGGACTAATCTACTTCACGTTATTCCTTATGGGAACAAATTCGGTCAGTACTGGCACCTGAACATACTTCTGGAATGAAAAAATATCGTTAACCGGGGGTCCACTGTATTGTCCAGTTTCTCCTCACTTTATTATCCTTTCTTGTTTATCAGCACAAAGTATAGATTCACTTGTCAGTAAACACCTGGTAATGTCAAGGCACTGACAAATAACATTTTTAAGTACAAGTTTTCAGTTAGATTATCTATCCTATGTGGTGTTTTGCTATTCCTTACTTGCAATTTTACTATCAGTTTCAACTGAGAAGTTGACTGTGTTTGTTTCATCCATTTTATAGCTTAATATGAATGACTCTGATCTAATTGGTCATATAATTCATGGATCATAATGTAATGAAGGAAAGACTTTTGCATACTCAATAATGCTATTGGGGCTACCAGGTACATATGTATAACGAGTTTTCATAGGGAATTAACGACCCCCAAAAAATGGAGCTTGTATGCTTTATAGTTCTTGTGCCTTCTATGATGTCATAGTCAATTTACCAAGAAACTGATAAATAGACTTGAGCATTGAATACATCAGACTGAAGAACATAGCCCTCATGCACCTCATGTTGTCCAGTAGTAGCACATTTGGCTCACAACCAAGAGAACCAAAGTTCAGTTCCCAGGTGGAGTAAGATGTGGGCATATCTCACCACACCTGCTGTTCCTGTTCACTTAACAGTAAATAGGTACAGATTTTCCTTGCTTTATGCAGCTTCATTTCACACAAATTTGATATTATGCAATGTTCATTATGCCAATTTTCTGCCCTTGACTCTGTCAAGGGCAGGCTTTGCTTTATGCTTTAGCAGTTGTTTACTAATGTTACATTACAGCTGCTTGGAAACATCATCATATATATATGTCTTATATGCTTGTGTGCCTTGTATGACAGAAGATATGGCAAGTGTTAATTGACTGTTATGAGTCTCATCCTAAGTAGTTGTATACCTTAAATAGAGGCAGGCTTTGAGACTTGAGGTAGGATTACAATTTTTAGATTGTAATACAAAATATATAAATACGTACAGTGGAACCTCAGTACTCCAACTTAATTCATTCCAGAAGGCTATTTGAGTGCCGATCCGTTCGAGTATCGAACATATTATTCCCAATCAATTTTCGTTTTGGTTGGCTGTTATCACTAATCTTTGTAGGCCCCATGGTGACTTATTTATATAAATAATATAAGAAAACACCAAAAAATGCGAAGAAACATGAAATAGTTTACAAAGAAGTTCTGGCAGGTCATGTTTGTTTGGTCGAGTGTTGAGGTTTGTTCGAGTAGGGAGCTGTTCGAGTACCGAGGCTCCACTGTACATGGAATGTTAGTGATAAAAAGACACCTTAATTTTTTATCTCTATCATGCTAGGTTTATGAGTGTTTGTATAATTTACTGTACTGATACAGTTATGTTATGCACCTCACTGAATTTGTTCATTCTTCTTTTGCAGTGGCTTTTGGCACCGATCACTCTGATTGTGATATGCTGGCAGTGATATTTATGTCACATGGCGAGCAAGATATACTATGGGGTAAAGATGGTCACATAAAAGCTGAGTTTCTTTTTGAAAGCTTTCAAGGTGATCAGTGTAAGACACTTGCTGGGAAACCCAAATTGTTTTTCATACAGGTAAGACTGCTGTTTGTATATCATTTTCTTGCACATTATTTTGTGTTTGTGTGTTCATGTTTATTTTGTTTGTTTATGCCATTTCCTCTGTTCATACTAGGGATTCTTGTTAAATATTTATTGAGTTATTTTTAATACAGTAAATGCCCAATGAAACAATAGGGAATAAGGCTGCCCACTTTAGTGAAAAATCCATTATATTGAAAGTTCTGATTAAGTGGACTACATCCACTTAATTGATCAACTACTGGACAAGGACAAATGTCCAATAAAACAGACTTAGTCCACTGTAACTGTACTGGACATACTAAGAATGAACTGAAGTACAATACAGTCTTACCTGTAAATGTACCTGGAACCCATTTTGGGACTGATGTAACTGCAGGATGGTTCTTCCCTGATAGAATTTAGGAATTAAAGTCTATATAGTTTTTTCTTGTGACTGTAAGAAAGGATATTTTTTTTTAACATACCATCTGGGGAAGAGAGAAGTATAGAGGAGAGAGAGAGAGATTTTGGGAAATGTTGAGTGAATGCGTGGGGAGTTTTGAACCAAGTGTGAGAGTACTTGTGGTTGGGGATTTTAATGCTAAAGTGGGTAAAAATGTTGTGGAGGGAGTAGTAGGTAAATTTGGGGTGCCAGGGGTAAATGAAAATGGGGAGCCTTTAATTGAGCTATGTGTAGAAAGAGGTTTGGTAATAAGTAATACATATTTTATGAAAAAGAGGATAAATAAATATACAAGGTATGATGTAGCACTTAATGAAAGTAGTTTGTTAGATTATGTATTGGTGGATAAAAGGTTGATGGGTAGGCTCCAGGATGTACACGTTTATAGAGGGGCAACTGATATATCGGATCATTATCTAGTTGTAGCTACAGTTAGAGTAAGAGGTAGAAGGGATAAGGGGAATATGGCAACAACAAGTAAGAGGGAGGTGAAAGTGTATAAACTAAGGGAGGAGGAAGTTCGGGTGAAATATAAGCAACTATTGGCAGAAAGGTGGGCTGGTGCAGGTATGAGTAGTGGGGGGGGTTAAAGAGGGTTGGAATAGTTTTAAAAATGCAGTATTAGAATGTGGGACAGAAGTTTGTGGTTATAGGAGGGTGGGTGCAGGAGGAAAGAGGAGTGATTGGTGGAATGATGAAGTAATGGTGTGATAAAAGAGAAAAAGGTAGCTTATGAGAGGTATTTACAAAGCAGAAGTGTGATAAGAAGAGCAGAGTATATGGAGAGTAAAAGAAAGGTGAAGAGAGTGGTGAGAGAGTGCAAAAGGTGAGCAGATGGTAGAGTGGGAGAAGTACTGTCAAGAAATTTTAATGAAAATAAGAAAAAATTTTGGAGTGAGTTTAACAAGTTAAGAAAGCCTAGGGAACAAATGGATTTGTCAGTTAAAAACAGAGTAGGGGAGTTAGTAGATGGGGAGATGGACGTTTTGGGTAGATGGCAAGAATGTTTTGAGGAACTTTTAAATGTCGACAAAGAAAGGGAGGCGGTAATTTCATGCACTGGCCAGGGAGGTATACCGTCTTTTAGGAGTGAAGAAGAGCGGGATGTGAGTGTGGGGGAGGTGCGTGAGGCATTACATAGAATGAAAGGGGGTAAAGCAGCTGGAACTGACGGGATCATGACAGAAATGTTAAAAGCAGGGGGGGACATAGTGTTGGAATGGTTGGTATTTTTGTTTAATAAATGTATGAAAGAGGGGAAGGTACCTAGGGATTGGCGGAGAGCGTGTATAGTCCCTTTATATAAAGGGAAGGGGGACAAAAGAGATTGTAAAAATTATAGAGGAATAAGTTTACTGAGTATACCAGGAAAAGTGTACGGTAGGGTTATTATTGAAAGAATTAGAGGTAAGACAGAATGTAGAATTGCGGATGAGCAAGAAGGTTTTAGAGTGGGTAGGGGATGTGTAGATCAAGTGTTTACATTGAAGCATATATGTGAGCAGTATTTAGATAAAGGTAGGGAAGTTTTTATTGCATTTATGGGTTTAGAAAAGACATATGATAGAGTGGATAGGGAAGCAATGTGGCAGATGTTGCAAGTATATGGAATAGGTGGTAAGTTACTAAATGCTGTAAAGAGTTTTTATGAGGATAGTGAGGCTCAGGTTAGGGCGTGTAGAAGAGAGGGAGACTACTTCCCGGTAAAAATAGATCTTAGACAGGGATGTGTAATGTCACCATGGTTGTTTAATATATTTATAGATGGGGTTGTAAAAGAAGTAAATGCTAGGGTGTTTGGGAGAGGGGTGGGATTAAATTATGGGGAATTAAATACAAAATGGGAAGTGACACAGTTACTTTTTGCTGATGATACTGTGCTTATGGGAGATTCTAAAGAAAAATTGCAAAGGTTAGTGGACGAATTTGGGAGTGTGTGTAAAGGTAGAAAGTTGAAAGTGAACATAGAAAAGAGTAAGGTGATGAGAGTATCAAATGATTTAGATAAAGAAAAATTGGATATCAAATTGGGGAGGAGGAGTATGGAAGAAGTGAATGTTTTCAGGTACATTTGGGAGTTGACGTGTCAGCGGATGGATTTATGAAGGATGAGGTTAATCATAGAATTGATGAAGGAAAAAAGGTGAGTGGTGCATTGAGGTATATGTGGAGGCAAAAAATGTTATCTATGGAGGCAAAGAAGGGAATGTATGAAAGTATAGTAGTACCAACACTGTTATACGGGTGTGAAGCTTGGGTTGTAAATGCTGCAACGAGGAGGCGGTTGGAGGCAGTGGAGATGTCCTGTCTAAGGGCAATGTGTGGTGTGAATATTATGCAGAAAATTTGGAGTGTGGAAATTAGGAGAAGGTGTGGAGTTAATAAAAGTACTAGTCAGAGGGCTGAAGAGGGTTTGTTGAGGTGGTTTGGTCATTTAGAGAGAATGGATCAAAGTAGAATGACATGGAGAGCGTATAAATCTGTAGGGGAAGGAAGGCGGGGTAGGGGTCGTCCTCGAAAAGGTTGGAGGGAGGGGGTAAAGGAGGTGTTGTGGGCGAGGGGTTTGGACTTCCAGCAAGTGTGCGTGAGCGTGTTAGATAGGAGTGAATAGAGACAAATGGTATTTGGGACCTGACGAGCTGTTGGAGTGTGAGCAGGGTAATATTTGAAGGGATTCAGGGAAACCGGAAATGGGAAGTACAATGCCTGCATTCTAAAGGAGGGGTTTGAGATATTGGCAGTTTGGAGGAATATATTGTGTATTTTTATACGTATATACTTCTAAACTGTTGTATTCTGGGCACCTCTGCAAAAACAGTGATTATGTGTGAGTGAGGTGAAAGTGTTGAATGATAATGAAAGTATTTTCTTTTTGGGTCACCCTGCCTCGGTGGGAGACAGCTGACTTGTTGAAAAAAAAAAAAAGGGCTATATCCCGCCAAGGCAGGGTAACCTAGAAAGAAAGACTTTTTTTTTTTAATTTAGTAATTTATACAGGATAAGGGCTTACCAGCCCCTTGCTCCTGGCATTTTAGTCACCTCTTACGACATGCATGGCTTACAGAGAAGAATTCTTTTCCACGTGCCATGGAGAAAGGGTAAATGTAAAGTAAATAATTTAGAGAGTGAGGAACAAATATATTAATTAACTTTCCCATATTTTTTATATATTTTTATCATTGTATTTTACAGGCATGTCGTGGAGAGAATTTGGATGCTGGTGTAACACTGGTGCGCTCACGTCCAAGTGATGAAACTGACTCAGGTTACTTATCCTACAAGATTCCCAACACTGCTGATTATCTGATTTGTTGGTCAACTGTACCAGGTAATGTACAAGGCAGCAAGAATGTCTGTGAATAGTTGGCCTCCACAGATGAAAATGTGTGAAAGTGTAAGATTTATACTATTGTCTTGTTGAAGTACATGTCAGAATAATAAATGATCCACTATAGTTTCAGCCTTGCTTCATAACTGCTGTTATTCTTTATAAATTCTGGAAGTCATTTTACAGCTCATCTTTGAATTTTTCCAGCTTATATTTTTTTTTTTTAGTTGAAGGCATCGAACCACTACTGCATATTATATCTATGATGTAACATATGCTGTGAACAGCTGTTGTAGCATTTCCCCACTCCTATATTTGAAGGTTATTTTAAAGAATGCCATCACACCATATAAGTTTCTCAGTTTCATTAATTAGATCTAGTGAAAATTATTTCTGTAATTGTCTTTTTGATCACAGGTTCATCATGATAAGTTTTTTATTCATTTACTTGATTTTTTACTCTTATGCTTTTCTTAGCACAGTTCATAAAGCTCTCTTCCATCTTTGTTATGCATAGAGAAGCTCTTCATGTGGGACCCAGTCTGTGGACCTGTGCCTCTGTACTCTTTTGACTACTGTTGCCCACAGGATGGGTATATGCAGAGTAAATATCAAACCGAAACTATGCTTTTGAAGGTGAAAATTAACATTTTTATTTCATTGATTAGTAATACAGCAGGTGTTTACTAGGGATGTGCCTTTAAAGTTTTTGTTTTAGTTCTTAATATATTATTAGTTTCAGGTCACTACTCATGGCGTAACACTACAAATGGATCATGGTTCATACAGTCACTTGTTCATGTACTAAACAGAGACTCTTCCCATGATGACTTGCTCTCCATGATGACAAGTGTTAACAGGCATATGATTATCAACTTTGAATCCAACTGCCCTTGTAAGTATTGCCTTCAAACACTGTGTACACTATACCACTGATGCTTAGGAAGATTTTTTTTTTTTCTTTCCAACATGTTGGCCATCTCCCACTGAGGTAGATTCCTCACTGAATTCATGCTGATAAATCAGTGTTCCCTCTAGTGTTTTCAACAAGTCGGCCGTCTCCCACCGAGGCAGGGTGATCCAAAAAGAAAGAAAATCCCCAAAAAGAAAATAGTTTCATCATCATTCAACACTTTCACCTCACTCATACATAATCATTGTCTTTGCAGAGGCGCTCAGATACAACAGTTTAGAAGTTCCTCCAAACTGTCAATATCCCAGACCCCTCCTTTCAAGTGCAGGCATTGTACTTCCCATTTCCAGGACTCAAGTCCGGCTAAATCTATAATAATCGATTTCCCTGAATTTTTTTTTTTTTTCAACAAGTCGGCCGTCTCCTACCGAGGCAGGGTTACCCAAAGAGAAAGAAAATCCCCAAAAAGAAAATACTTTCATCATCATTCAACACTTTCACCTCACTCACACATAATCACTGTTTTTGCAGAGGTGCCCAGAATACAACAGTTTAGAAGTATATACGTATAAAAATACACAATATATCTCTCCAAACTGCCAATATCCCAAACCCCTCCACTAAATATTACCCTAGCAGTTTATATTAACCATAGATAACCACTCTTCAGTAATATTGGAAAAAGGAAATCTGATGAAATATGGTTTGTTAATAGTGGAACCTCGGCTTACGAATTTAATCCATTCCATGACCTTGTTCATATCCTGATTTGTTCATGTGTTGAGTCAGTTTTCCTCATATAAATTAATTGAAATGCAATTAATCCGTTCCAGCCTCTCAGGAGGCATGACAAAATAATGCTAATATCAACTCTATGGCTTAGTTATCTATCACAGTTCATCTAATATGATATAATAAACAATATTAATAACATAGAAACATGATATATACTCTAGAATGAATAAAATAGGCAATAATATGGCAAGTGATGGCGACTCCGGAAGTGGCAGAAAGCATCTGCCGTTTACTATCCCACTCTGGTATCTTCCCAGTCATAGCCCCACACCTAGCTTGTGTTTATCTATGATTAGTGGTGAGGTTGTCACATAAGTATTAATAAGTATTATTATCATTATTATTAATTTAGGGAACTGGAGCACAGATCCATTTCCCTAGATCAAGAGCCCATCACTACGTACATCATCATGCTGCTGCTGCTGCTGCTGCTGCTGCTGCTGCTGCTGCTGCTGCTGTCTGTGTGTGCTGCTGCTGCTGCTGCTGCTGCTGCGCTGCTGTGCTGCTGCTGCTGCTGCTGCTGCTGCTGGCTGCTGCTGCTGTGCTGGCTGCTGCTGCTGCTCTGCTGCTGCTGTGCTGCTGCTGCTGTGCTGCTGCTGCTGCTGCTTGCTGCGCTGCTGTCTGCTGCTGTGCTGGCTGCTGCTGTGCTGCTGCTGCTGCTGCTGCTGCTGCTGCTGCTGCTGCTGCTGCTGCTGCTGCTGCTGCTGCTGCTGCTGCTGCTGCTGCTGCTGCTGCTGCTGGGTGCGCTTGCTGCTGTGCTGCTGCTGCTGCTGCTGCTGCTGCTGCTGCTGCTGCTGCTGGCTGCTGCTGCTGCGCTGCTGCTGCGCTGCTGCTTGCTGCTGCTGCTGCTGCTGCTTGCTGCTGCTGCTGCTGCTGCTGCTGCTGTGCTGGCCTGCTGCTGCTGCTGCTGCTGTGCTGCTGCTGGCTGCTGCTGCTGCTGCTGCTGGTGCTGCTGCTGCTGCTGGCTGCTGCTTGCTGCTGCTGCTTTCTGCTGCTGGCTGCTGCTGCTGCTGCTGTGCTGCTGCTGCTGCCTGCTGCTGCTGCTGCTGGCTGCTGCTGCTGCTGCTGCTGCTTTCTGCTGCTGCTGCTGCTGGCTGCGCTGCTGTGCTGCTGCTGCGTGCGCTGCTGCTGCTGCTGCTGCTGCTGTGCTGCTGCTGGCTGCTGGCTGCTGCTGCTGCTGGCTGCTGCTGCTGCTGCTGGCTGCTGCTGCTGCTGCTGGCTGCTGCTGCTGCTGCTGCTGCTGCTGCTGCTGCTGCTGCTGCTGCTCTGCTGCTGCTGCTGCTGTGCTGCTGCTGCTGCTGCTGCTGCTGCTGCTGCTGCTGCTGCTGCTTGCTGCTGCTGCTGCTGCTGCTGTGCTGCTGCTGCTGCTGCTGCTGCTGCTGCTGCTGCTGCTGCTGCTGCTGCTGCTGCTGCTGCTGCTGCTGCTGCTGCTGCTGCTGCTGCTGCTGCTGCTGCTGCTGCTGCTGCTGCTGCTGTGCTGCTGCTGCTGCTGCTGCTGCTGCTGCTGCTGCTGCTGCTGCTGCTGCTGCTGCTGCTGCTGCTGCTGCTGCTGCTGCTGCTGCTGCTGCTGCTGGCTGCTGCTGCTGCTGCTGCTGCTGCTGCTGCTGGCTGCTGCTGCTGCTGCTGCTGCTGTGCTGCTGTGCTGCTGCTGCTGCTGCTGCTGCTGCTGCTGCTGCTGCTGCTGCTGCTGCTGCTGCTGCTATAATAATAATAATAATATAATAATAATAATAGTACTACTAATGACAGTAAGGAGAAACTTCAAAAGGCTGCCAGTAATTGGCACCACCATCAGCAAAATATTGGTAACCACTACTAGTACACTTTCCACCTGTCTAGACTTAGTAGTCTATTAGCATTAGGTTAACTCTGCCCGAAATACTTTTGCATGATAGTGGCTTTCTTTGCTCCAGTCATATTATGATATATAAACACAGTGTAACCTTCGCAAAGAAATAAATATTTTATTTATTTATTTATTTAAGGAACCTCCCTTGAGGGGAAAGTTTGCATCCTGAAATTTCGCTCGTGTCCAGAAGCAAAAAATTGACCGCATGACGGTTCGTATCCTGAAAAATTTGCATGGTGTGGTCGTTCTTAAGGCGAGGTTCCACTGTATTAGAATTTTTTGATAGCTTATATAAAATATGAGAGGGTAATGATTTTCAATTTAGAACTGTATATATTATTAAGAAATGTAATTAGTTTCACTAATTATTTTTGTTTTTTGCAGCTCAACCACATATGCATGGAAAAAAGCAAGCTGCCAGTATTGTCTCTACTCTGATGCGCAAAGTGTTCCTTTTACCCAAATATTGACAATGGGATGAGCAGGGAGGCAAGAATGGTAGGTCAGAGCATTTATCTAGGCTGTCACTTGCAGCACCAATAGCCTCAGAAGAACAAATAGAAATTGACATCCAGCCAGAGCCTGAAGCATCCTTCAAGACTCGAATAAGTAAGCTCTTGCGCTGCCCAGTGAAACCTAAGATAAAATCTTGGAAAATCCCAAGTCTAAGAAAAGTAAGAAAAAACAAGGCATTGTGGAAGTTTAACCATGTTTTAGCAAACCCTGACTAGTGTGATTGTAATTACTGGTTAAACAAATCTAACAAATGATAAATCCATTGTTACAAGTGTAGTATCTTAAGTCACTGTAGCAAATTACAATAGTTATAATTCTGAAGAAAATTAATGTGTTCTACATTGATAATGTTGTTTCTTCAAAGATAGGAATAAGCAGTTCAACAAAAAATATGATTTTTAATATTCATACAGTATACCTAATATAATTGTTGTAATTTAAAATTGCAAATAATTAGTGGTTGTATAATTCTCTGGCACTTTTAACACTGTGTGTACAAATGAATTCACAGGTTAGTATCTGATAAAGATTCTTTTATTTTGATGTGTATGTGAACTCTATTAGATGAACATGTCTTTCATTACCATGGTAACCTAATGGTAAGAAAATGTCTTTCATTACCATGAATGATAAGTTTTTGGTATAAAAATGTCTTTCATTAAGAAGTACACAAACATAAGATCTTTGGTCACAGAATAACAGTTGTTAATTTTCCTATTTAAAGTATTTTCACCTTAATATGATGAAGCATGCAAAATTGAATTTTGCATTTTGTTTAACAAATCTAAGTAAATAACTGTAAACAGTAGATTAATATTGACTCGGATGAGATAAATATTGTACGTACTGTATAACAGTGTCATATTGTATACTGTATGTATCATTGATTTTTTTTTAGGTGTATTCGTAGCAAATTTGTATAAGAGATGCACATTAGAAGTGCCATGTGTGATAAGTGTCCAGTTGACATCACAGTACAAGTTTTTGCACAATGACCAAGTCTTTCATGAATATTTATGATTGTGTAAGTAGTTTGACAATTTTGTGATTGAATTTAATATTTGCACATAGAGTAGTGTAGCTAATTGGAACAGTTATCTTGCCATAATAAAGAAACTGAATGATCTGTTGCTCAAACTATATTGCTGTGATTTATTTTCAGAATATTTTCTCTTGATTACAGTAATTTTCTGCATATACAGAAACTATATGCTGTACAGTCAGACCCAGGAGTTCACATACTTTGTAATCCATTTGATTCAGTTATTCTACATATTTACTGAAGGCCATTTCATGGATAGGTTTATTAAAAAAATTCTTTATGGCCATTGTCTTCATGATACTCCTAGAATTTCATTAAAAATATGCTCATTCTTTCTTATGAATGTTAATATTAGCCAGATTAAAGCATTGTTCAAATAAATGGGCAAAAACAGTTAAATCATTTGTACATGAGAAATTTAACAATATCTGCAGCTTCAGGATTTGCATCACCTCCAGGAGCCTAATGTTACCCCATAGATCATGGGTTTCAATTGTATGTGCACTTCTGAAGTACTGTATATGGAATTTGGAATAATTATGAAAAATATTATTTCATATTTGTGAATACATTTTTTTTTTATACACCCTGTCGTTGTAAGTCCTAGATCTCAGAAGGTGATGGATGCATATTTAGCTGGCAAACAAGAGAAACTCTAGCAAGTTTGGCACCAATCATCACCCAAAAACAGGCAGCTTGCTGAACAATAAAAAATTCAAATTATGGGCAACATACTGGGCCCTTATTCAAGTTCCTAAACCTGCAAAATACAAGTGCCATTTGTTATTACTAGTGTTCATGCCACATCATTAGAACACTACACTGTAATGCTGATGCTGACGTAAGACATTTCCTGGAAAACTGTAACAGAACACACGGGCATCACACTAGAAACATACCTGGTTGAAATCCTCCATATGCAACAGAACATCTACTGAAATTATAAGCAAACTAAAAAGTCAACAATGTGTAATAACTTATCAGATGAATTAAACATTTTTTTATTAAATTTTTTTTTTAACACGTCGGCTGTTTCCCACCGAGGCAGGGTGGGAAACATACTGAATTTAAATTAAAGCTGAAACACATAATGTGTGCTTAAGTAGTTCAGTCATGTCTTAGCGTGTCATTTAATATAATTGAACAATCTCTGTTGTAAACTATGCTTTAGTGATTTTATAAATTACTCTCAAGCTTTTCCTATTTCTTAAATTTAAATTTTTAATTTTTATTGAATAAGCTTGTAAATTTTATCTTGACTGTCATATACTTGGGGAAGTGACTTATGTACCGGAGACAAGCAAGATGAGTCCAAATTGGCAAGGAGAAAACACAGTGTTTGGTTACATATATGTACAGTCACTTGTGAATCGCTTTCTCAAATACTTTTGATAGAATTGATAGATTGAACATTGATCTAATTGCGAATATCAGTCTGAGCACCGCCTTTGAGGTAGTCTGGAAAGGTGTAGGATATTGAAGTAGGGGGAGATAATACTTTTGCAACTTTTTTTTAGATAATGGTAAGCATTTCTTCTGTGATACTACCTGAATTGTTGAGTGGTTTAATAATCAATTCTATTTCAGTAATTATCAGTCAGATAGCTACTGACATTGGGAGTTAGGCTAGTCTTCTAAAGAAGCTTATGGTGTTACAACATAGTGTTTAGCTAAGCTTTTCACAACAATGAAAGAAATAAGGTATTCTTTAAAGAACTCTTAGGGAGTCATAACATAGTGGTCATCTTAGTTTCATACAAAAACAAAGATAGCTGGGCAAGTCTTTAATGATGATCGCTCCTGAGGTCACTTTTCACAGATATGTCCTACTTGTAGCCAAAGCACTGCCACAAACAATATGGGTGTCCCTATACATTATATCTGTAAGGGAGGAGGGGGCTAAATGTTGAAGGGTTTTTGATTGCTTGAATGACCTCTATAGGTTTAGCACTCACTCTTGAATATAATCATAATAATGCTATAGATTATGTCCACATACAATAACAAGAGACTACATGATGTATAGGTGAATGAGTTCACTATTTTACACTCGGTGCAGAGACTCACCTCTGGCTTCTTGTAAATTTTATACACTTATTTTTTCTATAGAATCTCTAGAGTGAACAGTCTTTCCTGTTTCCTGACTCGCAGAATACAGAAGACAGTCTCACTATAACACTCAAGTCCCTTGCTTTCCAAATACAGTGGACCCCCGCTTTACGATCAGCTCCCAATGCGACTAATTATGTAAGTGTATTTATGTAAGTGCGTTTGTACGTGTATGTTTGGGGGTCTGAAATGGACTAATCTAATTCACAATATTCCTTATGGGAACAAATTCGTTCAGTACTGGCACCTGAACATACTTCTGGAATGAAATAATATCGTAAACCGGGGGTCCACTGTATAAGGAATTTTACTGTATGTAAGTGTAAAATTAGTAATTAATGTGGTGTTTTATCAATATGCCCTCCATGACTAAGCCAGATACAAAATAAAGAATATGATTGTGTTGTAGTAGAATTCTGTTACTACCTTATTTTTCCTTCTCTCTAGTGATGTCAAGTGCACAAATACTTGTAGGAAGCTACTGATGTGATCTTAATTGCATCCTAGATAAATGTATTTTTTTTTTTGTAGGTAAGTTTCTATTTTAAAAATAAATTGTTTTGTTGTCTTTATAATATGTATAGATATGTTAGGCATCACTTTGGGCATTACATGTTTTTGTAATTGTAAATCTCTCATTAGATTATGTAAATATAAATGTTACATAATTGGGGAGGAGGAGTATGGAAGAAGTGAATGTTTTCAGATACTTGGGAGTTGACGTGTCGGCGGATGGATTTATGAAGGATGAGGTTAATCATAGAATTGATGAGGGAAAAAAGGTGAGTGGTGCGTTGAGGTATATGTGGAGTCAAAAAACGTTATCTATGGAGGCAAAGAAGGGAATGTATGAAAGTATAGTAGTACCAACACTCTTATATGGATGAGAAGCTTGGGTGGTAAATGCAGCAGCGAGGAGACGGTTGGAGGCAGTGGAGATGTCCTGTCTAAGGGCAATGTGTGGTGTAAATATTATGCAGAAAATTCGGAGTGTGGAAATTAGGAGAAGGTGTGGAGTTAATAAAAGCATTAGTCAGAGGGCAGAAGAGGGGTTGTTGAGGTGGTTTGGTCATTTAGAGAGAATGGATCAAAGTAGAATGACATGGAAAGCATATAAATCTATAGGGGAAGGAAGGAGGGGTAGGGGTCGTCCTCGAAAGGGTTGGAAAGAGGGGGTAAAGGAGGTTTTGTGGGCTAGGGGCTTGGACTTCCAGCAAGCGTGCATGAGCGTGTTAGATAGGAGTGAATGGAGGCGAATGATACTTGGGACCTGACGATCTGTTGGAATGTGAGCAGGGTAATATTTAGTGAAGGGATTCAGGGAAACCGGTTATGTTCATATAGTCGGACTTGAGTCCTGGAAATGGGAAGTACAATGCCTGCACTGTAAAGGAGGGGTTTGGGATATTGGCAGTTTGGAGGGATATGTTGTGTATCTTTATACGTATATGCTTCTAAACTGTTGTATTCTGAGCACCTCTGCAAAAGCAGTGATAATATGTGAGTGTGGTGAAAGTGTTGAATGATGATGAAAGTATTTTCTTTTTGGGGATTTTCTTTCTTTTTTGGGTCACCCTGCCTCGGTGGGAGACAGCCAACTTGTTGAAAAAAAAAAAAAAAAAATTCTGTAATTTATATAGTTTTCTTGAAAATAAGTACTGCATATCATTTATATTTATTGGCCAATCTCTTTGAGGGACTTATAACAGATAATCCAAAACTCAAAAGTTTGATTGTTATATATATATATATTTTTTTTTTTTTACAAAATATTAAATAGTCTAAAACATTTTATAAAAAAATGAAGGTAGGAATTAATCAGGGTTTACCTGGAGTTTACCTGAAGAGAGTTCCGGGGGTCAACGCCCCCGCGGCCCGGTCTGTGACCAGGCCTCCTTAGGTCAGTGTCCCAGGGTGCGACCCACACCAGTCGACTAACACCCAGGTACCCATTTTACTGATGGGGAACATAGACAACAGGTGGAAAGAAACACGTCCAATGTTTCTACTCTGGCTGGGAATCGAACCCAGGCTCTCACCGTGTGAAGCGAGAGCGTTAACCACCAGGCCACCAGAGGTGGTGAGTGTTGTCAAGTATTGAATGTGTTAGTGGAGATTTTAGCTTTTCAGCTTAGAACAGATTTCACAAAATTGTTACAGAAATCATTATAATAATTATATTTTTTGTTTGGTTTGTTTAGTTTAATTATAGTCATTCCTTTACTTTTTGTTATTGCAAGTTAGAAAACGCATTTTTGCTTCAAAATGTACTATGCATTTATTATATCACTCGGTGTTTCTCCATATTTTCTTCTTTATTTTGGAGGAATGGTTTAAGGGTAAATCCTTTACACTTTAAGAAGATGCATTAAGTGTTTAGGCTTATTAATTTGTGAGTCTGTGAATGTTCCAAACAGAAACAGTTTATTATTAGGTATGCATTATTATTAGGGAAATTCCTTATTTATTTCTGTACAGTACTTCTCTTCATGATGATGTTTTTAGACTTCTGAACTTAAAATGCATATACTGTACTGTACATTATAACTCATGTAAAACCTAATACAGTAGAGTTGTTGATGTTTCATAAACTTGACCTGTAATATGAACTTCCAGTTACCCTATCTTCACTTCCTTGATTATTTTCCCAGCATCTCACTCTGTATTGAATAAGTTTTTTTTTTCTCAGTACCACTATTGAGACTTTATAACATGATTAAAGGGTATTCTTAGTTATGCAGTGTAGAAATGTAGATCTTTATGTAAAATATCCATTATCATCATAGAGTAATATACATTCAGATGTTCTGTTAAATACATCATATATTAACCCTTTGACTGTCGCAACCCCCAATCCTGAGGTGTCTCCTGGGGTGTCGCAAAATTTAAAAAAAAAAAAATTATTTTTTCTTATGAAATGATAGAGAATATTTTCCCGATTGTAATGACACCAAAAAAACGAAATTTGATGGAAAACTGACGGAATTATGCTCTCGCGAAGTTAGCGACTTCGGCGCTGTTTACAAATCGGCTATTTCGCCCACTTTGAGCCCTATTTTCGGCTAATTCCATTGTTCCAGTCGCCCAAACTCATAGCTATTTCTTTAGAACTTCATTTTTTCTATCGATTGAATACAAGAAACTGCCCATTTACTGATTTCAACTACCTAATAATGTGGTCAGAAATTTGCAATTTGGCCAATTTTACGAAAACTAAAAAATATGACAATTTCAAAATAAGGTCCAGAATGAACAATGCAGACATTCCTGGCTCTAAAATAACATTTTCTTTGTTCATCAGTCACGTCTCCAGGCCCTTCTGATATTACTCTTGCTTTCTATTTTGAATTTTTATTCAAACAAAAAATATTAGACTTACTATTATGCAGACTACTGCAATGCTGTAATAACTGTATAAATAACATCAACCCATTCATGACTGCATATTAGAATGGCTAGTTGGACATTTATTGGACAATGGCATCATTTGTTTACTTTTGAACATTGGCAAAAATCAAACATTTCCCCTACTTTGAGCTCCATTTCTAGGTTCTTTTTATAGTAAAATCAATCAAAATTACCTCTATTTCTGTAATATGTCTTCCATTCTATCAAATGAGACCAAGAAAACGAGAATACAACCATAAATACTATACGAAAATAGACCACAAAGTCGGCATTTTAATTAAAAAAAACGGTCGGAGTTTTTTTTTTCTCATTATGCACTGCGTGCTCCAGGATTTTTTTTATATGGTGCACACTGACCACACAGACCCATTCTCTCACATGTGGGCCTACCAGCTTTCTCCTGCTTGATTTGAAGCCGCTAGAATTTATGAGTATATATACGTCAAACATGGCACCTCGTAAAACGTATATATACGGCCGCGACAGTCAAAGGGTTAACAGAACATCTGAGTTTTAAGAATACATATGATAGGGCCCAGGGGCTAGGAGACTGAATCTGGAAAATGACAAGTTGAGAGGCAGAGCCACGAGCTAAGACTCAACCTCTGCAACCACATATAGGTGAGTATTTACGTACGAATGTACGTACATACATTCATACATACATACATACATGCTTACATACATACCTACCCATATAATAAAATTGTTACCTCGAGAAATATTTTCTGGCCAGTAAATTGCTGAAGACAATATATGTATTGTAATTTCATTTTGTGGCATTCCTGATATTCATAAACTTTTTGTTCATGTTCCATGAATAGTGTTTTTGTGTTTTGTTATGCAGCATAGAATTTTCTGGTTGTGCGAGTGTCCTTTTTAATAAGTAGTGTTGATATATCTAAGGTAGTATTTAATACATTTTCCTAGAGTGCAATAAAATGTCTTATATAACATTGTTTACTTTTATTAACTTTGTATGAGTCAGCTTAGTTACATACATAATGAAGGCATTCCTTGTTTAATACAAATTTTTGGTTGTTGTAGTTACTGTACATATGAATTTATAAGTAAATATTATGTTATCCCAACTAAAGTCAAAGTATAATCAATGTACCTTTGAATACAAGGATAAAAAAGTTCATGCTAGGAAGGAGGAGGGAGATACCTTCATGTTGGTGAAAAACTTTTGATTTAACTCAATCAAAACTAAATGCTAAATCCACAAGGATTATACAATCCTGAGTTACAGAATTGTAGCTGCTTTCCCTTTCCTTAAATCAGATTTGATTAATTCCCATTACCCAAGTGCTGTATAAATAACCCTCCAAATGTACTGCAATGATGTGGTACGAACAAAACTTACGAAGTTTCCCTGGGGGGAAGGGTCCATGATGCTGGTGAGAGGCTCTTGATCCAAAGGATTGGATCAAACTTGAATGCTTCACATTCTCTAGGCACTATACAACCACTATGGGTTTAGCGTTCCCCCTGATTAAAAATGTTATGTAGCTTTACAATTTGTTACATATACACTGACCTTGACAACCATATCACTGGAAAGAAAGTTCAACATAGCAAAGAAAATGATGGTTAATACAAGGAAAGCAAAAGCAAGTCCTTATTAAGACCATATTCTGCTCAAGGGGAGCTACATTATAATATAAAAAAAGCTCTTCTGACACAAAATGTAACTAACTTCTGTCATTTGTTATTTTATTACCCAAACTTGTTGGTTCTCTTGCCTTCCAACAAATGAGAGCAATGCTTGGAATAAATAGAGGCTATATGTAACTGCCCACGTTTAAGATACGAAATAAGTGGAGTAATGTAAAAACTGACCATTTTTAAAAGAATAGGATTTAGCACTTCCCCTTGATAATAATAATAATAATTTTAAAAGGATAACATAATGACAGCAGCATACATCCCTGTCCATCTTCCTCAAAGCAGAAACTTTGTCATGGAGGGGAGTGTTACTGCAAGAGGAATGAGGCATGACCTGGTTCCTTAAAGAAGGGGATATGAATGATGATGAATGGGTCTTAATGCAAGCGCCATCTTCCCACCATTGTCAGGTTTAGGAGGTAACACCCTGGCATTTATGCAACATACACACGCGACTCACTCATGGATATCACATGCAGAAACAATCAGCACCACTCTGTGATTACTGTCAAGTCCTGTATCATCTTTGATTGCAATTTTGCCAGCACTAGCCCCTAACTTTACACACCTGTCTCTTGCTCATTCTTAACCTTAGCACAATTCTGCCTTTACACATTCCTCCTGCAATACTGTCTGACCCTTGTGGGTTTAGCACTTAATTTGATGATAATCTTGATCCAAGGAATTGGAGTTACTCTCCCCTGGGATCACATCTAATTACCTCCCACTCTTTTGATGCTGTATGACCATTTCACATTTAAATGCTTCTCATTAAATCTAATAATTTGGCTAGTGGTGAGAATCAAATTAACTGTTTCCACCAGTTTAGAGTTGCCATATGATTTCCTGGCTCCACTCACAGTGGGTTACTCTTTAGATTGCATTGTACTAATAGATGTCTCGACTGAAGGATGTTGGAGATTTAGATCTTACTATACCTGGAGTATACCTGAAGGGTATCAGGGGTCAATGCCCCCATGGCCCAGTCTGTGACCAGGCTTCGCAGTATATCAGGGCCGGATCAACCAGGTTGTTACTGCTGGCTGCACACAAACCGACGTATGAACCAAAGCACTGAGATCAGCAAACTTTCCTCAAAACATAGCTTGCCCATTCAAGAAACTTCCACGTCAATCAGAACTGACCTCCTCCCTGGAAGACTATCTCGCTATGACTTCTTAAGGGAAATTAGCCTACTGCACCAAGTTTGATTAGTTCTATTCTTGGATTAACCCCCACCTCCACTAACCCCTAACTTCGCACACCCCTACCCCTAATGGAAGTATGTTCTAATTCACTGAATGTAAGTAGATACTGAGGAATCACTGAATGAAAATAGGTGCTGGGTAGGCTCAGTGGAAATGGGTACTGTCACTAAGTGATTGTAGAAACAGGTACTGATGATTCACTGAGTGAAAATAGGTACCAGCGACTTCCTAAGTGGAAATAGGTATTAGTGATTCACTGAGTGGAAGTAGGTACAGTGACTTGCTGCTTCTCTGATTAGCAATAGGTAATGGAAAATATCACTGAGTGGAACCAGGTACTATGGAATCTCACTGAGTGAAAGTAGGTACTGGGCAGTCACTGAGTGGAAGCAAGTACTGGGGAGTCTGAGTGAATAAGAGTAGGTATTGGAAAGACTCAGTGGTAGCAGGTACTGGGGAGACTTACAGGTGAAAGCAGGTACTCGTAAGACTCACTGTGTGCAAGCATGTACCAAAGTCTCACCGAGTGAAATTAGGTACTGGGGAGACTAAGTAATCAATAGCAAGGGATGCGGGGTACATTAAGCAGGAGGCTAGGTTAGATGGCGTGTTGGTCTGCCTATCTTCGTGAGACCTCTCCTCCTCTCTCCCTCCCATCATTATGAACATTGCAGCCTAGGCCACAGCTCTGCCACTTTCCCTCCAGGGGAAGTTATTTGATGTTGATGAAGGGTTCTTGATCTAAGAAATTAAAGCTACCAACTCCTTTGTTAATCAACTTAACTGCCACCCCTTTCCCATGCGGTGTTTAATTCTAACAGCGTTTGATATAATTACCAAGGTGCCTGTAGGGACTTCGGGGAACTTTTAGAAGTCTTTTAGCACTGAAAATTTAATGGTATTTTTAATGGATGCTGGCTGTTTTAACTTGGTATGATAGATCGTTGTTCTGTATGTTTTATTTGTATTTATTCCTCATTGCCAGGATCATCGAGTCATTTACCTGGTCAACCTTAACTATAAGGGTTTGTCACACAAACTACCACCGTATAGGAGTGGGGTTACACCACCTACCATCCATTAAGAGGGAAGGGAGGGTTCACACCACCCAGAGCTACATAAAACATAATGTACACTCGGCAACTTTCCTGTAATTAGGACTAGGAAAATTTGGGTCATGTTTTCACGTGAAATATTATGTATTGTGAGACTTGGCGGAGGTAATTACCCTGGATGACTTACATGTATAGGAGTTGTGAAGGGTAGTGTAGCGGTAGTAATGTAGTGGTGGAGTAGTGTAGTGGTAGTAATGTAGTGGTGGAAAGTAGTGAAGTGTAGTAATGTAGTGGTGGAGGGGTTAGTGTATTGGTACTGTAGTAGTGGAGGGTAGTTACTGTATTGGTGATTTTGTAGAAGTGGAGGGCAGCGTATTGGTAGCTTTGTAGTGGGGGTAGTGTATTTAGTAGTTTTGCGGTAGTGAAGGGCAGTGTAGTGGTGGAGGGTTGTGTACTTTTGGTAGTATATGATTATTATTATTATTATTATTATTATTATTATTATATTATTATTATTATTATTATTATTATTATTATTATAATCAAAGAAAGCGCTAAACCGAAAAGGGTCATGCAGCGCTTTTGGTAATGTAGTGGTGGAGAGTAGTGTAGTTTTGGTAATGTAGTGGTGGAGAGTAGTGTAGTTTTGGTAATGTAGTGGTGGAGAGTAGTGTAGTTTTGGTAGTGTAGTGGTAGAGAGCAGTGCAATTTTATAGTGGAAGGTGGTATTGTAGTACATGGTGGTAGAGGAAAATATAGTGGTAATAAGTGGTAATTTAGTAATGGAGGTTATTACATGGGTATAAGCATAATATGACGTACGGCAATACAGTAGTGAAGGTATAACACATAATGTAATAGAGAATATTGTCAGAATTAAGGGATGACCGAGAAATTATATCTCTAGATTATTATTATAATCAAGGGGGAAGCGCTAAACCCGGAGGATTATACAGCGCCTGGGGGGGGATATGTGGAAGGCATTCAGGCTTAATTCGGGGAACTGGAGCACAGATCCAATTCCCTAAATCAAGAGCCCCTCACCAACATCAAGGAACCTTCCTTGAGGGGTTATATCCCTAGAGAAAGTAATAAGCGTTGCACAATCACATATATGATAAACTCATACAAAGACAATTAACAATGACATTCAACAACTGTATTTACATCATCAATTAAGAAGATTGGATAATTACTCAAGAGATCAAAAATGATTAAAGGGATCCTTGTGGCCGTTACGTGAGATATGATGGAAGGACGGGTGGCAGGGGATGGTCAGTGGCAGAGAAGGGTGAGTGGCAGGGAAGGGTGAGTGGCAGGGAAGGGTGAGTGGCAGGGAAGGGTGAGTGGCAGAGAAGGATGAGTGGCAGAGAAGGGTGAGTGGCAGGGAAGGGTGAGTGGCAGGGAAGGGTGAGTGGCAGGGAAGGGTGAGTGGCAGAGAAGGATGAGTGGCAGAGAAGGGTGAGTGGCAGGGAAGGGTGAGTGGCAGGGAAGGGTGAGTGGCAGAGAAGGATGAGTGGCAGAGAAGGGTGAGTGGCAGGGAAGGGTGAAGTTCCATGAAGGGTGGTCCCTGTACCCTGGCGGAGTCGTAGCATCCACGACCACTCGTGTGTCCCATGCAACCTGTCGCCTCAGTCATGCTGGGGTTGCGAGCGTGTTGCAGCAAGCTAGTAGACTCTCACATTCCGCCAAAACATGGGTAGGAGGCAACATGAAGGTGCTAGTCACTGAGGTATATATACAAGTGGAAGGCTACCGTGTGTATCACTGAAAGCAGCGATCAGCTCCCAGTAGTGAGCAGCTCTCTCACGAAGGCATCCAGGACGTGCCCAAGGCTGGGTACTGGAACATGTATCACATGCCTGGGTATACAGGTAAGTGTTAGTTGTGTTGCTGTTATTGGTACACTGCATTGCCGTCTGCCTTGATAGGTTTCACTGTTCACAATTTGGTTGCCACACTTGTGACTACATATTTGTTCCTCGTTATCACTTTCCACTATAGCGTAGTATTATCAGTTTACATAGACGAGACTATCGTAGCTAAAATTACATAGACGAGACAGTATCATAGTTAAAATTACATAGCGAGACAGTATCATAGTTAAAATGCTTTACCACATTCTTCTATTACGTTTCAGTAGCTTCTCAATTAAATAAAAAAAAATCTACCATCACCTGCATTTTGCTGGTACTCCAGTTTCCACCAGCGTCTCTTACATAACGTGCAGCTGCTCATGTCACCATTGTTCTGTTGTTCACCCTCTTGGACGTGTTCTCTTATTGTTAGAACATCCCCGCTACAGTAATTTCTCATTTTTCGATCTTACAGATCCTAGGCTAATTACACTATCATTTATTAACTATTGCATTACATAATATTTAAATTCTAGTCTCTGGGTTATCCTAGGTTCTCTACACATATGCTGCTATGTATGATAATTCTATGTAACTGTATTTGTGTATACCTGAATAAACTTACTTACTTGCCTCCCAGGTGTTATCTTGCCTCTCTCCATATCCCTTACTCTTCGTGTAATGTTGTATCTACTACCCTATTTTTAGCTCTTCCTTGTGAGTATAATACAATGAAATGTGACTGAAATAATGCAGCATTTTTAAATGAGACACTTCTGCAACATTTGAGTACCTTTTTTTATGGAAACGTTTCCCAGCCAGTGATTACTTCAGTCCAATACAGAGAACTTACCTTCCACCGTTCTTCTCTGTACTGGACTGAAGACACTGGTGAAGTTACCCAAATATTGCACAAGTGTCTCATTTATCAATTTGGTTTTGATGTGATGGTGCCCAAGTATAACTTACGCAGAGAAACCATTGTAGAACCAGTCATTCCACGTGTGGTGTGTATGTTACGTAAATATAACCTTTTGTTTTAACCTTTACGATGTCATATATTAGAGTAGCCGTACAATGTGGTATATCTGAATTTGCTAAACAAAAAAAAAATTGCTTCAAAGTTACATTTTTTCGCTGCTCGTGAGTTTCCTGACAGTACCTGGAGTTTACCTGGAGAGAGTTCCGGGGGTCAACGCCCCCGCGGCCCGGTCTGTGACCAGGCCTCCTGGTGGATCAGAGCCTGATCAACCAGGTTGTTACTGCTGGCTGCACGCAAACCAACGTACGAGCCACAGTCCGGCTGGTCAGGAACCGACTTTAGGTGCTTGTCCAGTGCCACCTTGAAGACTGCCAGGGGTCTGTTGGTAATCCCCCTTATGTATGCTGGGAGGCAGTTGAACAGTCTCGGGCCCCTGACACTTATTGTATGGTCTCTTAACGTGCTAGTGACACCCCTGCTTTTCATTGGGGGGATGTTGCATCGTCTGCCAAGTCTTTTGCTTTCGTAGTGAGTGATTTTCGTGTGCAAGTTCGGTACTAGTCCCTCTAGGATTTTCCAAGTGTATATAATCATGTATCTCTCCCGCCTGCGTTCCAGGGAATACAGGTTTAGGAACCTCAAGCGCTCCCAGTAATTGAGGTGTTTTATCTCCGTTATGTGTGCCGTGAAGGTTCTCTACATTTTCTAGGTCGGTAATTTCACCTGCCTTGAAAGGTGCTGTTAGTGTGCAGCAATATTCCAGCCTAGATAGAACAAGTGACCTGAAGAGTGTCATCATGGGCTTGGCCTCCCTAGTTTTGAAGGTTCTCATTATCCATCCTGTCATTTTTCTAGCAGATGCGATTGATACAATGTTATGGTCCTTGAAGGTGAGATCCTCCGACATGATCACTCCCAGGTCTTTGACGTTGGTGTTTCGCTCTATTTTGTGGCCAGAATTTGTTTTGTACTCTGATGAAGATTTAATTTCCTCGTGTTTACCATATACCATATACCGAGGAAAACTAGGATATAATCTTTTATTATTATTTTCTGTGCAAGTTAACACTTATCATCACTCCCCCGCAGAATTAAGCTCAAAATTACTCCCTCATTATCTTCAACCTTATCTTACCACACTGTCAAGTTTCCATAAATGCAAAATAGTGAGAGTAGGCTTCGTGTTGAACCAATATTAAAAGCGAGATATAGCCTAAGCTCTCATAAACGTTTGCTGCCGGTAGTGGTCTCTTATAATAATAATAATAATAATAATAATAATAATAATAATTATTATTATTATTATTATTATTATTATTATTATTATTATTATTATTATTATTATTATTATTATTATTATTATTATTATTATACAGGCCTAGCTGAGTTCAGTGATATACTACTGTACAGAAAGCCTCTTGTTATGCAGTGCATTTCGGGCAAATTAGGTCAATTTGTCCCCAAGATGCGACGCTCACCAGTCGACTAACACCCAGGTACCTACTTGACTGATAAGTAAATATGGACAGCAGGTGTCTTAAGGTGACACGTCCTAATGTTTCCAGCCGTACGTCTTGATCAAAGAATTAGAGCTATTCTTTGCTTCAAATCTGATTATATTTAATTCCCCAAGCGCTATATAATTTCTACAAGCCCTGCGTAATCTCACAGGTTCAGCGCTTCCCCCATGAATACAGTAATAATACCTCTTCTAGGGGAAGGGAGGGGTACCTTGATGTCGATGAAGGGTCTTGATCCAAGGAAGTAAAGTTACTCTCCGCTTGGATCAAACCTGATTACTTCTCCAGATGCAACTCCAGCACTAGAACATTTATTATGGAAAGGTTTTGCTCACTTGGAACTTTGATAAATCAAATGCAGAGACACAGTATGGATGTGCGGGACCAGGTCAAATGTAAAGCTTATGGATTGATATAGCCAGGATAGAAATGTCAAAAAGACTAACTGAGGGTCACCTTATCGCTATGTTTTGATATTAATTTAGAAAAGAAAAAATCCCAGTTAACTTAAAACTGCCAGAGTTCTATTGGACGTGGCAAATCAACACAGACTACGTACATCTCTGCTTTCATCAAACAAATTCTCCATAATGACCAGGCTACTGTCATTAGTCATTCTCCATATTGCCCAGTCTGTTTTTATCAGTCATTCTCCTTAATGACCAGTCTGCTTTCATCATTTTCCATAATGACCAGTCTGCTTTCATCAATCATTCATCATAATGACCGGTCTGCTTTGATCAATCACTCTACAATGACCAGTCTGCTTTCATCAGTCATTCTCTATAATGACCAGTCTGCTTTCATCAATCATTCATCATAATGACCGGTCTGCTTTGATCAATCACTCTACAATGACCAGTCTGCTTTCATCAGTCATTCTCTATAATGACCGGTCTGCTTTGATCAGTCACTCTACAATGACCAGTCTGCTTTCATCAGTCGTTCTCTACAATGACCAGTCTGCTTTCATCAGTCATTCTCTATAATGACCAGTCTGCTTTGATCAATCACTCTAAATTGACCAGTCTGCTTTCATCAGTCATTCTCTATAATGACCAGTCTGCTTTCATCAATCATTCTTCACAATGACCAGTCTACTTTCGTGGACATTTCGGTATACGACTCTGCATGCACTTGACCTTGTTTACCACCTGTATATACTGTTTTTTTTTATCATCTCTGCAAAATGGTTATAAATATAACCTTAATTTTTAATGGGGGTGAACTGGTAAGCCAGTGGAAGGCCTCGGGCAGATGGCCAAAAGCTCCAGGTACGGGTCATCATGTGACCAGGACCCGCGTCAGGAAACTCTTAAGTAAGTAAGTATTGTTTTCTGATAAACCTTACCTAACCTAACCTAATCAATCTCTGCATTTGTGTTAACAGGGTTCATAGTGAGTGAAACGTTTCCATAATGAATGTCCTAGTGCTGCACTTGTATATTATTTGCATACTTGTCCGTATTTGATACCATCTTTGACCTGGAATTGTGCGCGTCTTTCCCAGCTCGACCCTGATTACCCCCCTTCCCCAGGCACTGCATGACCCCGAAGGATTTAACGCTTCCTCATAAATGTAACAATAGTAATATAATAATAATAATAATTACTACTACTACTACTACTACTGCTACTACTACTACTACTACTATTACTACTACTACTACTACTACTACTACTACTACTACTAATAATAATAATAATAATAATAATAATAATAATAATAATAATAATAATAACCAGAAGCGTTAAATCCGTTTGTGTCATTCAGCACTGTTTTGTGGGGGTTGATCTCTAGCTCTTGGTTATGCTGACTTGTAATCCCTGTATCTCAGAATCGTGTGAAATTCACCATGTTAATTACGTTGTGTACATGCTGTGTGTATGTGATCCATGTGTACATACTGTTTGTATGTGATCCATGTGTACATGCTGTTTGTATGTGATCCATGTGTACATACTGTGTACATGATCCACGTGTACATGCTGTGTGTACGTGAAACGTGTATATGCTGTGTGTACGTGATCCATGTGTACATGTGTGTACGTGATCCATTTGTACATACTGTGTGTACATTATCCATGTGCACATGATGTGTGTACGTGATCCATGTGTACATGTGTGTACGTGGTCCATGTGTACATACTGTGTATACATGATCCATGTGCACATGCTGTGTGTACGTGATCCATGTGTACATGCAGTGTGTAAGGGATTTCTCCATCAATGGTGTATTTGTGTATGTTCTCCAAGTAACCCTGACGTCCCCTCCCTACACATCTCCCACCATCCCACCCAACACTTCTCCCACCTGCCCTCCCCACACCTCTCCCATCTACCCTCCCACCAGACCATAATTTCGAGGCAATTTAATCACGGAGTAATTGAGATAATCGTGAAGTTTCATAATTTCTCTGAGAGATGATGATTGAGAGGAGGATGGTGCCTGACACCGGGTTTGATGATAATAGTCTTTTATGGAAACAGTATTATATTGTATACTAGTTTCCTG